CTCCATAGGACGCACTTTTTCCCCTCCAAAAATGAAGGGGAAATGTGTGTGCGTCCTATGGAGCGAATGCAGAGCTCGCTGAAGCCTGGAGAGCGAGAGGCATCGGTGCGCACCGACCCCTCTCGCTCTCCAGGCTTCAGGAAGCTATCCGCAAGCCTTGCAAGCCCGGTGGGAGTTCCCGCGGGCTCACAAGGCTTGCAGGCAGCAGCCTGCAGCCCCGGCGAGTGTCCGCAGCCTTGCGCGCCCGGCAGGAGGTCCCGCCGAGCGCGCGAGGCTTGGGGCTGCAGCCTGTCGCCTGACGCACGGGGAGCCCTCCCGAGGGCTCCCCGTGCTTCGGGCGAGTGTCTGCAAGCCTTGCGCGCCGGGCAGGAGGTCCCGCCCAGCGCGCAAGGCTTGGGGCTGCAGCTTGTCGCTCGAAGCACGGGAGCCCTCCGGAGGGCTCCCGTGCTCGGGCGAGTGTCTGCAGGCCTTGCGCGCCGGGCAGGAGGTCCCGCCCGGCGCGCAAGGCTTGGGGCTGCAGCTTGTCGCCCGAAGCACGGGAGCCCTCCGGAGGGCTCCCGTGCTTCGGGCGAGTGTCTGCAAGCCTTGCGCGCCCGGCAGGAGGTCCCGCCCGGCGCGCAAGGCTTGGGGCTGCAGCAGTCGCCCGCAGCACGGGGAGCCCTCCCGCGGGCTCCCGGTGCGTAGGACGAGGGTCTGCAAGCCATGCGCGCCCCGCCGGAGGTCCCCCCCCGCGCGCAAGGCTTGGGGCTGCAGCATGTCGCCGAAGCACGGGAGCCCTCCCGAGGGCTCCCGTGCTCGGGCGAGTGCTGCAGCCTTGCGCGCCCGGCAGGAGGTCCCGCCCGGCGCGCAAGGCTTGGGGCTGCAGCTGTCGCCCGAGCACGGGAGCCCTCCGGAGGGCTCCCCGTGCTTCGGGCGAGTGTCTGCAAGCCTTGCGCGCCCGGCAGGAGGTCCCGCCCGGCGCGCAAGTCTTGGGGCTGCAGCTGTCGCCGAAGCACGGGGAGCCCTCCGGAGGGCTCCCGTGCTTCGGGCGAGTAGCCTGCAGGCCTCGCGCGCTCGGCGGGACCTCCCACCGGGCGCGCGAGGCTTGGGGCGGTAGCCTGCAGCCCGAAGCACGCGAGGCTTGGGGCGGCAGCCGCGGGGGGGGGGATAATTTTTTTTATTCATTTCCCCCCCCAAAAAACGAGGTGCGTCCTATGGACCGGTGCGTCCTATAGAACGAAAAATACGGTATCCCCTGACATAGGATTTGTGGTCTCAGATCTATAGGCTGGGAAGCAGGGGGCTGGGAGTGGCTGACAATGATGGTTCAAATCCCCACCTGGCCATGAAGCTGAAGATCAGACTACCGTAGATTCCGGCGTATAAGACGACTTTTTAACCCCGGAAAATCCTCCAAAAAGTCAGGGGTCTTATACGCCCAGTCGCCTAATACGGTACATGTATCTACGGTACATGTGTTGTGGGAGATCTCTGATCTCCTGATTCTTTGCATCCCTGCTGCTATGAGACTAGGGGAGAGAGTTTATTTATTTAAAATAAATTTATATTCATTTTTTATTACAGTCCAACAATAGCCTCATTATAACAATACCAATTTATAATACAATTATTAATACCAATCCTTCAAATATGGAATTATATAATTTTTTTTTTTAAAATATAATATTTATTGGTTTTACAAAAATTCCAAAACATACAAAAATACAGAATTTCAAAGACAAAAAACAACAGTAACAATAACAAAAGGAACACAAAGAATAACAATAACCATAAAAAAGAAAGACAAAAGAGAAGAAAAAAAAAGAAACAGAAAAATTTAAAAGTTTATAATTTCATTTAACCTTCTTATCTTTCCTTGGTTCTTTGACTTCCCCGCACCTCCCCACTTGTATTTCCTTTTAGAGACTCCTTTCAGCAAATCCTTACCCTCCTTCCTTTATCTTAAGTCAGAGAACTTAATCTATTTATATCTAGATGTTTTTACAACCTTATCAATCAAATATTCCATACTCTTAAACGCGAGGCTTTTGCCCATACCAGTTATTTTCAATCAGACCTCAATTTAGCATTCATTAATTTTATAGTATTTCTGTAGATAGTCTTTAAATTTCTTCCAATCTTCTTCCACCGACTCTTCTCCCTGGTCACGGATTCTGCCAGTCATTTCCGCCAATTCCATATAGTCAATCACCTTCATCTGCCATTCTTCCAGAGTGGGTAGATCTTGTGTCTTCCAATACTTTGCAATGAGTATCCTTGCTGCTGCTGTTGCATACATAAAGAAAGTTCTATCCGAATTATATAATTTAAAGTGGCCCCCGGGTGTGCTAGATTTGATGATTTTCTTTAATTCTGCGTTCCAAAATCTTATTAGTTTCAATTACATTCCGATCATAATAATAATCCCTTACACAACAACTGTAATATTAATAACCTCTATTCGTGTTGACACATTAAATGATTTATAAAGCTTCGAGTAAGGAACTCAAAACTATATCCTTGTTCTTCCTGTGTGTGGCAATTATTCTGTCCATGGTATTTCTTCCTGTCCTTGTAATATGATTTTTAAAAGAAAAATGTATACACAAGATTTAAAATCAAAAATACAAATAAATATGTAAGTAAAAACAGAGACGCTATCAATGAAACGTTCTGTTAAATATCAGTAAATAACCAAACCAAACAATGTGACTGCAACCATGGCTTCTGTGTCCTAACAGATCTTTCTCACACTTGTGGCTCAAGTGCTTAGATTATTCAGCTTCCTCGACCAGGGAGGGAGAGGGCATGTCTTCACTCCATGCACATTACCTGATTGTTTTTACCCGTGTGTCTGCAATCCCCCACCCTGACTCATATTCAAGGAACATGCGCAATGGCTATCCAAACTGTACACACCTCAGTTTAACTGCAGCTTGGACAAAAGGTGGCTTGTGGGAAAATGCACCACACAGGAGTATTTCCCGAGAAACTGCAAGATACAGATGGATGGCGGCTAACGTCACACACACACTACTTCAAACACCAGCAGCAGGAGTGCAGTAGAGCTGTATATACATATATATATGTAAAGGGACCCCTGACCATTAGGTCCAGTCGCGGATGACTCTGGGGTTGCAGCGCTCATCTTGCTTTATTGGCTGAGGGAGCTGGCGTACAGCTTCCGGGTCACGTAGCCAGCATGACTAAGCCGCTTCTGGCGAACCAGAGCAGCGCACAGAAATGTCAGTGACCTACCCGCCGGAACAGTACCTATTTATCTACTTGCACTTTGACGTGCTTTCGAGCTGCTAGGTTGGCAGGGCAAGGGACCGAGCAATGGGACATATCATTTCCAACAATTATTTAACATAACTTCTTATCTTATACAATATTTTAGACTTCCGTCAACAACCTCTGAAGATTTTCCGTTCTTTATCACTTTTTCTACATTTCTTAATTTCTCTATTACTTTTAATTGTCGTTAACTAATAATTCTTTTCATAGCCTTCCTTGCAATATGTCAGGGAACTGCCATCAGTGCCGGAGGGAGAGAGCAAAATCCAGAGGGATTCCAGAGAGCGTCCCGGGATTGGGAGAGGCAGCCCATCTTCTGGGGAAGAGAATCAGCGTAGCACCAGTGGAGAAGGGGGGCAAATGGGGGAAGCAGCGAGGCAGTCCCATGACTCCTTGCCGGGGACCAGCGGGGAGAGTAGAGGTCCTCCGCTGCCAACGCCCTCCTTGCGCAGAAGGCTTCCGCGCAGAGAGAGTGGGAGGAGACTAGGCGTCAAAGAGCTTCTTTGGTGGAAGAAGTTTAAGAAACGGCCACTGACAGATTCTGCCAGCGATTGAGACAGCCACGGGTGAGTGGCTGTCCAGACAGAAAAGGTTCACTCAGGCAATCCAGCCAGGTGTTTGCACCGGCTTATGCACGAGCAACCCCTAGAACCATTACACAATATTTCACAAAATCCTCCTTACAGAACTTCTTGCAGTCCTACTAGCGTAATCTGTTTATTACAATTGCTTTTCAAATAGTTCAAATATTTACTCCAGTCCTCTAAGAATCTCTGATCCCGCAGGTTTCAGATCCTTCCTGTTAATTTATCTAATTCTGCGTAGTCCATTAGTTCATTTGCCATTCTTCTTTTGCCGGTAATTCTTCTTATTTCCATTTTTGTGCCAATCCAGCTGGACGTACTGGAAACCATCTTCGCAGTAGAGCTGGATTAAATGGTAATGTGTACATACTGTACTTCTCAACTTGAGTCCTTTTGTTTACAATGTATGGATTATTATTTTTATTAATTAATTTAATTCGTGTAACTGCCCTTCAGCCGAAGATCGCAGGACGGTTCACAAAAATAACGTTGGTTTACCTTGCAGTAGGAGCAGAAAAAAAACAATGGGCTGCAGTTTGTTGCTGGAGGGCAACTCCCTACGTGGCCCGACCATTGGCTATACCGGCTTGGGCTGATGGGGGCTGGAGTCCAACAACATTTGGGGAACTGCTGGCTCCCCATCCTTGGGCTACTGAGATAACATTCACAAAGCGCTTTGGACGTTTGAACGGTGCTCTCTGTGTTGCCAACAAGGCCAGCTGCAACAGGCCTGCAGCTCTGATTTTAAATCCAGTTCAAGTGCTGCCTTTTAAATCCACTGTTGAATGAATCAGCCTGAATTAGCTGCCCTAACCGATTAGTTCATGCTTTCAGCCAGATGGGATGGTATCACTTCATATCATTTCAGCTGCAGCAGTTTCAGTGACCTCCCATCCAGGTTGCAGCACCTGCTGCAGCAGAGATCACCTGGTGCCGAGCTCTTGGACAAGCATGTGGCTTTTGACAGATGTACATGCAACGCCATCTGCTGGCTTGTTTGCATAATTTCATCGTTCTCTTCGAACGTAAAGGGAGCCTTGATGGTACATGAGAAGAAGCGGGGAAACTCCTAAGTCTGCAGCTATCAAATCAATCCCTGTATTGCAGCGAACCAAAATGTCACA